AATAATAATAGAATTTAGAATTAAAATTATATTTAATTATATATTTAATATATATTTTGAATTTAAGTTTAATAAATTTAAATTTTAAATATATATATATTTTTTATGAAAAAAGTAGATATTTTAGTTAAAAAAAGAAAGAGAGGAAAGGAAGAAAAAAAAATAACGAATATTAAAAATAGTACTTTTGAGAATATTGAAAAATGCCAATAAAAAATTTGTTTCTTTATATGTGAAATAAATTTTAAAGTGTACAATAATGAAAAACTTTATTTAAATTATTAAAAAATTGTTCCATTTGTTATGTATGGCACGAATGTACCCTAAAACTATACATCGAAAAATAACAATAAAAATATGTGCATTTTATCTTATGTAATATATGTAATATTTTTTATTATTACAAAGATAAAAATTTGTTTTTATCTTTAAATATCGCAGTATTGTATTAAGTAAATAATTATTATTTTATTAATTTTTAAGAAATTATTTTATTATAATACTAATTTTCATAATATATTATGTATTCTTTTAAAATAATTTTCTTCTCTTAATCCATGTTTAAATAAATTTAGAAATATAATAAAAGATATTTTTAAATGTATACTAATGCAACATTTCTTTCTTTATATTTCATAAATAAATAATTTAAATATATTTTCAATAAAACATATATTTACTTGGAACAATTTATTAAATATTAAAAAAAATTTATTATATATAATTAAAATAATATATAATTTTTTATCAAAGAGAGAGATATTAATCTTCAAAACCAAGAAGTTGTTGCATTAGAGATTTTAGCTAGTAAATGTTTAAATGGAAAAAAATAAATATAGCGATTTATAAAATTGCTTAATATTATATATGTTATTATATATGCATATTTGCAATACATGGATAAGAAGTTGTAAATAAGTATGATGCAATGACAAATTGAGCAAGAATACGCTGAATATGCAATTATGATATAAAATGAATATAATGGCTGTGAAGTATTTTAATTTTTTGTCATTTAAAAAAATAATTTATAATCTTTTGTCATTTCATAATTTTTAATTTTCTTTGAATTGTAAATTTTTTTAATAAAATATATATTATTATTTTTTTCAGGTAATAATATGAAATTTAAAATTAAATGTTTTAAAAATTAACATTTTTCATAATTAAAAAATATATTAAGAAATTTATTTTTGTATTTTTTTTTTTAATGTTATTAGAAAATATATAATAATTTTGAACTATATATATTACACGAATCATTACACAACTTTTGTTTACATATATTATATTTGAAATGAGAGAATGTTTTTATATATCGAATATTAATTTCAAATTGTTTAAATACATATTTGTATATAAATAATTATAAAAACATGATAAATTTAATATTTCTTATTTCTAATAATTTATGTATATTGTATAAAAATTATAAAGAGTAATATTAATTCTTTTATATAATGATAATAAATTATATATAATGTTAAAGGGCATGTTTAATAAGATGATATTTAAATGTATATATTCCTTTATTTATAATGTATATTTTGATATAACACAGTCTTGGAAGGCACTTTTTTTATCCACAGCCAAAAATTATGGCATTTATATAATTTTAATTATGTCTGTTTAGTTTTATATATATTTATATATTAGACAGTCTTGAGCAATAAGCAAATATTAGTACTTATAAATGGATGACAAAAAAGTATATGTACATATGAATTGCAATATTGTGTATATTGAATCAAATCATATTGTACTTTAAGTTTAAATTTAGAATATTCTGAAATCATCAAATTATTTTAATATATTTTATTTTCATTTTTTTTCTTAATTTTATAAATATGCATAGTTGAATATCTGAAACTCAATGATTTACAAATGTTTTATATGTAACTATATATTAAAATTAATAAAATAAAAAAAAATTATGCCATATTTTATGTAATAAATTTTGCAATAAAATATTTTTAAAACCACATAAAAAAAAATAACAAAACATGAAATTGTTTTCCGAATTATTATACACAAAAAAAATACATCAAATATTTTTTATAATATTAATAATATTATATGTGTGTTGTATGAAAATCCAATAATTTAATACAATTATTTTATTATTTATTTAATGTAAGAAATTTCAATGTTAAAATAACTAAATATTAAACATATATTTTTTCTATGTCAATTCAAAAAATAAACAATAATATAATCATCAAGTTAACTTTTTGATAAAATATTCTTAATAAAAATAAAATTTAAAATTCTATTACAAATCACATTTCAATAAACATAAAGAAAATTTGATTAGATTTACTATTAAATCAGTAACTATCAAAAAGCCAAGAAAAACAAAGAAATAATTAAGCAGCGAGTTGGCGACGTCTACTCAATTCGTGATCTATTAAAACAGAAATATCAGGATGACGATGAAAAATTGTCGTGCAATAGTTGATTGTTTGACTTGGATCTGCACCTGCTTTCAGCAATAATCT